CCAAGGTTGCCGTGTTCCAGACAGTAGAGGTGAAGGTACCACCACTAGGATTCGTGACTGTTCAGTCCATCTCTCTCCCTGATAGTCAGGGAGTCAGCAAGGATCCGCCACGTACACAGAGCGTGAAGTTTGGCGGACGGGGATCAGACCAGGGAAAATTCGACAGACCACACGGTGTTACGGTGTCCAAAGATGGCCTGGTGTTCGTATCAGACTACGGAAACGAAAGGATTCAATGCTTCAACCTACAGGGCACTTTTCTCCACCAGTTCCCAACAGTCGTGTCAGTGCAGGGCATTTTCAAATCTCTTGTGACGGCCAAACAGAGGATGAAACCAGAAGATTTGTCCATGGACAGGGACGGTAACCTGTGGGTGGTGGGCTCCGATAACTCCGCTGAGTATGCCGTACAGTACAGCCCCAGAGGTAAGCTGCTGACCAAGATCGACTTAAAGCGCACAGGACGGCAGAGAAAAATTGCCATTGACACAATAAGGAACAACGTCATTATAACAGAAACGTCGGGCTCAATGTCACCTCAAGGTGTCCTGTGTGTGTACAGGCCAGACGGGACACTTGAGAGAACACTGGGGGGCCAACACAAGATGGCACGGCCGGAGTACATATCTGTGAACAAGGGAGGGCACATCTTTGTCTCACACTTCATGGCGTCCTGCGTGTACGTGTTTCGTGAGGACGGGCACTTGCTGTCTGTTTTCGGGGGCGAAGGAAGCGGGGAAGGCGAGCTGAAGTACCCAGGGGGTATTTGTACGGACAGTTCTGGTAACATCATCGTGGCAGACAAGGGGAACAAGAACCTGGCAGTGTTTGACAGGACTGGGAACTTCCTGAGATACATCACTAGTGTGGAGGGTCGACCTGTGGCCGTTGCCATGGCACCAAAGGGACAGCTGGTAGTGACTGACGACATCCACAACACCGTCACCATTCTGTACAGTTACTGACTCCTTACATTTAGTAATCTCGATCCAGTTTTAGCTCGCTGAAGAGCTAATCTCAAAATTTCAATGTAGTAATTCTGCTGGATTTTTCACTTGGTGGATCCTGACCCATCTAAATGTTGTTACAACTAAGGCCTATCATAAATTCATTAATACTCAGCAATGACAAAATCTGTATACATGATCGATGTATTACTAACTAAAGCTGTATTTCAAAAGATTATTTCAAAATTAAGAATTGGTTACTTTACAAAGCTGATCTAGAGCTGATTTCCTGATCTGCCTATAAAACAGCTTTACTCAGTCAACAAATTGACTTTTTTAGTTTTACATATTAATTTACTTACACCAAGTTACAGTCTTCATATTAAGTTGGACCTAATATATATATACAAATGTATATTATCAAATAAATCACTGTTCTTTATAAAGTCATAATGCAATGTTAGTTTGACCCTATTTTGTTGTGTACTAGTAAGTTACTAGATAATTTGGAGGTATCAAATCTACATTGTGTTCTATTGAGAAATTCTTTGTTAGTTTTATTTGGGTGAGGAATTCAATTTTCATGACAGCATGGAGTACTTTAATTGCCCAGGTAGGAACTTGTGTATATTTTGTTTTCATATGAGCAAGGACTGTAAAATGTCCTTGATATGAGAAACGAAGACCAGGAATCAAATAAAACGTTGTTGAATCATGTTCAGTTCTTTATGGTTTTCTTCAATTCTTTCTATTCTAACTGAAACGTAAAAAGCCTATAATTTTCATAAACATTTTATATTGTAACAGTGGGGGTTTATAGGCGCTACCAAAGCCATGGACTGAGGTAGACGGGACTCCTTTAACCTCCTCGAATGCTTGATATACATGTAGTCCACGATCCTGTTTAGAGTAGAGTAGAGTAGTAGATGTCTACGGCCACGTATAGGAGCTAATAGCTTCAGTTCCAGTTTAGGCCGCTCATTATGTTTGACATGACAATATCATAACTTGTAAATACTTACCTTTCCCTCGTGATGATCACAAGTATGTTTACTTTATCGTTACGGCAAATATGAGAAATTCAATGCGTGAAATCAAACATTTCGTGTCGATCCGGACTCTGACCACTTTGGTCCCAAACATTGACTAACCTTTCACCTCGGAAAAATCTACTTTTATTCCAAGGGTGGTCATATATATTGTATTGTTTATTTATCTGATATATAACAGAAAACTGTATTTCACATTTTTTGATTGAAAAATAATATTTTCAACATCTTAATTCAAACTCATTGTAACAATGATTTTGGGTTGAGAATCACTTTGGATTTAAAATTTGCGTAGGTAACCCTTCGGTTGAATGGAATCTCCCACAAGTTCTGGAAGGCAAAATGGCGGCCAAGGGAAAGAAAAAAGTGGACATCCGAGAATTAATGCGCAAACAGAAAGCCGAGAGGGCCTCCAGCGGACCCAAACGGATAGAATCTCCTCTGGCAAGGTACGGAGATGTTTCAAACGCTTTAGAAATGTTTTTGCATGAATAGATATTCGTTATGCAATGCCATTATTATCTTTGTGGGGGAGGGGGGCATACATGTACGTGCAATAATAGATGTATCTGCACAGAAAGAGAAATTTGCATTGCCAAATGTTAACTTGTTCTTTATCTTTTGTGTTAAAACTTTTTGCTTGGGTAGCAGATACCTTTGATTATGTTCTGGTGTGTGAGTTTTTCTTTTATTCTTAAAAACATAAGTTCAAAATTCACTAAAGCCTCAGTCACAACCCGCCGTGCATGCTTTTTGTCCGTACGTTTTTTGGGAGGCCACGTCTGCTACGTTTTTCTGAAAACGTGGGGAAGGACTGGCGTCAACGCACGTCACTCGCACGGTTGCGCAAGGTGTAAGAGTGTGGTCTGCACGCCACGTCTGGCCGTGAGCGGTTGCGTGCATCGTTCGTTCCACAAGTGGTGAGTTGTACGTGCTTACAATGTACGATCTCTGTGCGATTGCAACTTAACTGTAAGGAGGCCGTAATCACACGTGCTTCTTATGTACGGTACGTACGGGGCACGCGCGTTGCTCGTACTCGCACGCACGGGTGGTGAATCCGCAGACCGCACGCTGAAAAAGTTTTACATGCACTAAGTCTTAAAGTTCTGCTCCTAAATCCGTAGGATTCCGTACAAAAGTGGTACTCACCACGCACGGATGCCCTGCGTTTTCCCACGTTTTTGCACGTAGACAGCACGCAGAAGCACGTACGGTGGGTTGTGACCGAGGCTTAAGATAAACATGCACTTGTGAACTCACCCCATGTTGACAGTAAAATGTTATACCATGTTATTTGTCTACATGTTAGGTATAACAGCCTGGGACAGCTGTTCTGTGTGGTCTGTAAGGTACAGGTGAAGAATGAGCTGGTCTGGCCAGCACACATCGCTGGCAAGAAGCACAAAGAGGTTGGTATAAACTGTACAAACATTTCATCATCATCATCAGCTGTCGACCCCCCCTTTGGGACAGGGTTATCCGCTCCACTTCTAACATAATGTTGAACAATTTATTTTGAACATTTAAAGGCATCCCGTGCAGTTTTTAGGGGTTGGAAACCCGATTTTGCATTTATTAGCCAATATTCTAGTCATTTATCTAGTACATACTGAGTTGAAACTACACTATCCCAATGTATATTGACCCTCATAGAGCAAAAATTCTGAGTTGAAACTACACTATACTGAGTTGAAACTACACTATCCCAATTTGTATATTGACCCTCATAGAGCAAAAATTCCCAAAATTCTGACAGAAAATGGTTACTGGAAGGGCTCTGGGCTGATTTTTAGGGTAAAAAAAAAGAAGAAAAATAAAGGACTCATCTTGGGGCTTGTTTCTGCTGTTTGCAAACACCCAGAGTATGAAATACTGACTCAAATGTGCTAATGTGAAGCAGTATGTGTCAATATCACAAGGATTGCCTTATTCAGAATATTTCAAATTTTGCTGCCCAGTGAAATTGCATTGGATGCCTCTCTGACTTCAGGCATAATTCACCAATAGTTTACAGCAAAAGTTTACAGTAAGTACAAGTTGCGTTTGACCAGACTGTAAGGTTTGATCCACTCAAACAGGAAGGACCACTAGTAAGTATGCTTTTCGATATGTGTGGTGGGTTTTTAACATGCTCAAGATGTGACTCTCCTCAAACGTGGGACCTCCGGCTCACATCCAATAAGATGTCCCTAACTTAAGTTTCACTTCTGTATCAGATTCTGTATCTGTATAGCCGGTTGCAATTGGGTTGAGTGAGGAAATAGTAGCAAAGTGCATTCCCCAAGGGCATTACACTGGGGTCTGCCATTGCTAGGGATTTACACCTCTGTAGGTTCACATTAATAGGTCAACAACCCTAACCACAAGACCACCTTGACAGTTTTCCTTCTAAACTATGTTTGAATCATTCAATGCAAATTCTCAATCAATGAAACTAAAACAACTTGAAATTTCTCTTCTGTGCTCAGAATGTAGAACTCCTGAAAGGTGGTGATGTCACGTCAGTAGGTCCGAGCCCAGCTACCCCGCCCAGAAACCTGGCAGCAGGCAAGCGGAAAGTTGAGGACACCAGCTGCAGGGAGACATCCTTCAGCCAGGAGAAGAAACAGAAAGTCATCAGCAGTGTACCGATTAAGGGCATCCTCAAGAACGCAAAACCACTCACACCTGGGTTAGTGCTTATCTTGAAAGTTCATCTGTGTTAGTAGAAATCATTATAAAGCAAGTTTAAACTGTAATTTCCAACACGACAAATTGGACTCACCCAAATTTTTGACTGTACAACTCCAGTCTTTGTCAAGGAATGAGCAATCCACCGCTTCCGTGACGTCACGCAGATAACACACGTGACTCCGTGAGCAGTGGATCATAGGTTGCAGAAAGTCTGTGGCGCCCCCCGTCTCTGTTGAGGGATGGTTGTAATGCCCTGATGTACATGTACATCGCCTCGTTAATCCGCCGAAAAAAACAAGGTTCCTACATTTTGAAATTTGACTCCATCATATACAAATGGTTTTGATCCAGTGGGAACATCACATATAAACGGCCAGCATCACATATAACTGCATCAAAGTAAGAAACAAAACATTAAATCAGAGTCTTTTCTTGTCTCCTATCTTCATTCATATCTTATCCGGCACCTTCCGGCACGGCAACAAACATCTTTGCCCATTTTGGCATGTTGACCACTGTCAGAAGGCAACAAAATTTCTTGTTTTTTCCCCCAAATCAGGCAAAAATTGCTAGTAATGCGCGTGTTGATGACATCGATAAGAATTACTTGCTGTGGCCTAATAAAGCAACTCTAAGCACTTGACAGAGATTGTTTCTTTGTTCATTCTTGTTTTATTGTCCCTTTAGATTGCCGGCCACCTTTTTCGATGGGACCAGTAAATCCTCCACTTCTGCAGCATCCCAAAAACCTCTTGTAGATTTTGATGATGATGATGATACTGATGAGGAAGAAGAAAACAATACCCCAGCAGGACTGCCTTCTGGTTGGTGCATTATTGATATAATTATGTGAAATTTTGATAAGTAATGATATACATATCTGATAAAACAGTTGATAGATATTTTGATTGCTACATGATCTCAATAAAATGTTTAAGATGTTCTACAGCTTTGAAGTGAAGGCCACACCAATTTAATTCGTTGATTTACAGATTTGCCGGACTTAATTTTTTTCTGATTTGCAAAAAAAAAAAAAGAAAGAAAACATTTCAGCCCCTGAGTCAATTCTAAAATGAGTTGAAGGAATTCCCTTCTCTCAGAGTTGTTACAGTTTTTCCTTCTAACAATGTAGTAGTTGATTCAAAGTTTGAAATTCATTGTAATTGCAGGCCAACTTGGTGTATGTTGACTTCATGGTTCCTATGTAGCATTGGATGATGCCCAGGCCTGTTTTTATTTTTTATTTTTTTTGCCCTGTTGCTTCACAATTTTTCTAAAAAAATCCAAGAACCAACAAATCAAATTGGTGTGGCCTTATTTGTATTTCTAAACTTATTTCAGAACTGTACCCTTTTCCCAATGCTTCCTCAGATTTCTTTGACAGTAGTTCTAAAGCACCAGACAGCAGCACAGCAGCAAAACCTGATGATGGCTCTTCAGAAACTTCAAAGTAATTGTTCTACTTTGTTTCTACTAAGTCCCTTTGAAGAGTAAAAGTTTGCTATGTGGATAACAGTAAGTTTCATGTAGTGCCCCATGACTTTCACAATAACTTTTTTTATTCACGAGTATCCCATCCCCAGAATGCATTGCAAAAACGGGTCTAAACCTCAAACAGCTTGTTTTTCAGTGTATTTTGAGGTGTTGGGGCATTTTATGCTCAACGTTAACTAAATTACTATGGGTTGAATCTGACAACAAATAGAGAATGATTTTTTTTGGAATATGTGGTTTGTAACGTTATAGTGGTAACGCTATACTGTTGCTGTAACGTTACAAACCACATGTTCCATGTTAAAAAGAACACAAAAACTTCATTCTCTATTTGTTGTCACTGTCAGATTCGACGCATAGTAATTTAATTAACGTTGAGCATAAAATGTCCTAACACCTCAAAACACACTGAAAAACAAGCTGTAAATTAACGTCACCAGGATCATTCCGATGCCTTCCTGTCCAATGCAAATGAGGTTTAAACCTGTTTTCGCAATGCATTCTGGGGATGGAAAACTTGTGAATTTTACTGTTTTCCATGAAAAGATGATAGTTTTCAATGTGTCATTTGCATGATCCTGCTTTCTTTCAAACTCAACATGCTTATTAGGCCACACCGACTTATTTTTATAGATGACATCCACACGCATTGATTTTCGCCTGTTATGAAAAAAAAAAAAGATCATGTCCACCGAGGCTCTGGCCTGATTCTAGGCCTGGGTAGTCCATGGTACTAGAAGTTAGCGACAATACGGAGCTGGGCACCCAAGCTACCGAAGCTCCATGACTCGAGAACTTAATACGATAACGTACAGTGCCGATTCATAAATTCCGCGAAAAGCCAGCATGTAACGGCTTGTCGTATACGTCACTATGTAATACGGCGAATTCACAATACCCGAGCTTCGTATTCCTGTGGTTTGGTAGCATTTTTATTTTTGGACGGAATTTTTTTGTAATTCGCCCGCGCGCACTAGTTTGGGGGTCTTCAGAGGATGACATCCATAAAATTAAGTCGGTGTGGCCTTGTGTAAGTACATTTTGTAAATGTTTGACAGGTCCAACACAGCAGAGGGAATCCCAGAAGGTTTCTTTGATGATCCAGTCACAGATGCCAAAGTCCGAAATGTGCCACTTCCAAGTGAGAATGAAGAGGAGGAATGGCAGAGGTTTCAGAAAGCTATCGCACTGGAGGCATCGGTAAGGCACTAAGGCTGAAGTCTTGTTTATTTGTTTGTTTATTTGTTTATTTGAGTTTACCACCAGATATACAAGTGGAAGGGAGGACAAACAGGTGCATTGACACCTTTACAAGTTGTCCTCCCAAACACAACATGCACAATATGAATACAGAATAACATTATTGAATACAAAACAAATTGCAATAATGAACATCATTAACATGAAATATTATACATTAAACATCAAATCTAATGCAATAAACATCTGTACAATGCAATACCAAGCTACAATGTATATACACATGTAATACATTATTTACAAAAATATCAATGATTAAAAACTGGGTAGTAACACACTTGAGACACACAGTCCACAAATAGGTGCATAGCTCCAACAGTGGGTGAACAAACAAACCTGGCTAATTTCAAGTCTAGCTTAAGCCAAAAGTTTCTAATTAGGTTGACCACTGGGCAATCTGGGTCAAAAAAGTATTTTGTACACTGACTTAGTATTTATCTTTATCCTGCAGGCATCTGAGGCGATGATAGAAGTGGAGGATGAAGAAGTCCAGGCTGATCGAGAGATCACAGAGATCGACGATCAGATGTAAGGAACAGATACCTTTAGGACTTTGCTTCTTATAAATAAGCAAAAATACAGTTACTCAAGCAATTAGCTATTAAATCCAGTTGCTTGAGTAACAAAAAAATATTCTGGAAGAGAAAATCTGTCTGATGTACTTGAAGCATTTGGAATATCCCAAAACAAGCTGCTTGAGGCGTCCATCAATTTTTGGTACATGTACCACCAAATTATATATAGCTACATAATATAGAATACAACACGGGGTATTCCGTATCGCCCGAGGTATCGGTCCGACTGCGATACACCATGTTGTATTTTATTTATGTCATACCCACTCAAAAAAAGCGCGCCTTTCAATGCAAGATGAGCCAAAAGTTGGTGCCTGTAAACCCTCAAATGCAACAACGAATTTTCGAAAGCGACACACGCGGTTAGGACGAAACGCGTTCGAATTGTTCTGTGGAAGCCATGCAGCCCTTTACTTTACGGTACAGCCCGGTCCGGAACCTGTTATCGAACGTTATCGCGACCTGGGTATGATGTAAATGATGAATATACAGAACAAGCAACTGCTTTCCGACAGGGAATTATTGCATTTCTGCCGTGGGATAAGGTTGATTCAGTTTACTACCTTAAAAGAATGACAAAAAAACTGACTTTGAAAATCCAGTTTTACTGTCTAGAAATTTCTTACGAATGTCTTTAACGCATGATGCTGTTTTCCTTGCTGAATAGCAAGTGCACTATGCACCAAGTAACATCTAGCGTCAGTGCACAGTAAACCAGTCAGAATTGCCCTGATGAAGATGACAGACGGTCATCGAAACGTCGGCTCGTGAAAATAAATGGTTGTCATCAAGGAACTTTGCTATTCATTTGTTTACGAACCTGATGAAATTATTCACGGATGTTTTCCTTGCTGCAGTCACCGGTTACAGAAGGTGGAATCCATGGCAGATCGGCTGGAGAAGGCAGAACAACAGAGGATGTCCAGGAAGTCAGAATCAGAGGAACAGGAAGCTGACAGTAACAGTGAAGCAGAGGAAGCAGAGTTTGAAGAATTCTTAGACTGGAGATCTAAAGGCACCTGGAAATAACAGCACACAAAAACTCAACACTTCCTATTTTGCTACAGAATTATGATCTCTATATTACTTACCAATATTTTCTCACCTTATGTACTATAAACTCTCTCTCTTTTTGAACAAGTAAGGTATCACATGCATAATGTACCTTTATTGAAAGCTTCATGTAAAAAAGGTGTCTAGTGCATAAGATTGAATGCACACAATGTTCATTGAATCACTGAATTTGATCCTTTAAAGGAACATGAATGACGCAATAAGCAAGGCAGTTAGTATATATTACAAGCCTATAATACAAGGTCAAAGTCATTGTGAATTACGTTGAATACACATTTGTTACATGACATTAATATGCATATCAAGTTGTCAGTTTTTGTCTCAGAATAAACAACTATTTAATCCAATTATTGGACATGTAGAATACCTATTTCAAGATTGGTTAGATGCTACATTTGTATGTTTGAATGCCTTCCTTCATTCCATGGTTAAATTATCTGACACGGACTACTATGCTATCTGTATTCTTACCACATTATACATGTTTTACATGTATTCATGGTCCTTCAAGTCATTTTGTATAGACAACAGTTGAGTTTTACTCTGGTTCAATAGGAAACAAGGCTGTCAGAGATGGCAGACTTCACCCCCTTGAGAATACGTGTGATCACGCAAAACATACCAAAATCTGTACTGCACCAACACACATACATTGTACACAGAAATAAAAACTCTTCTCTATAGAAATTCCTCTGGACACATTCCTAGAATTCTTACAGACTGCACACAATAGTCAATACTATACCATTAGGCTCGCCCCTGAGGCGTCGGCAAAAATTCTTCACGCCTTTTGTTAGGTAAAAAGGTCATCGGGTATTTTATCTTAAAAGAGTTTTAACTGAGCAGACAATGTGCCCGAGGCACTTGACAACATGCGGGTACTAGTAAAACTGGTTTTTCAACTCGTACTCTGCTTTACCTGTGGTAACTTGGGTATACTTAACGCCAAGTCAGTGTGACTAATCCATATTCATAGCACGAATATGGGGTGCATCAGTGATCTGGTGAAAAACAAGAAGAATGATTACGTGTATGTACTGGTGGATGTAGCTGTTATGCTTTTACGTGAGTACCACTTATGTTTTTATTCTGCGTTAACACAAAAGTGCAGGTCGGTTAGTGCTTATCTTATTGTGTGAATACCTATGATTTGGTACAGTATATGGCTCAGCACAATAACAGTGAAAAATGTAAGAGTGACCTGATAAAATTCGTAACATAAGGAATGCAATAGTCCAAATGTAGTACACAGGCCACCAACAGAGTACATGCAGAGTACATGCAAATTGACTGGAACTTAACAAACGTTTAGGTTGCAGTAAGAATACCCTGAAGCTATTCACGGGAGACAAAATGGTCCAAAACAAGTTAGTGTTGTTCTGAAGCATACGTCAATTTACTGGTCTAATGTTACACGTTTTAATGTAGTAAGTTGAATCAACCCTTTCTCATAGCATACTGATATCTGTGAGGCAAAATGCAATATCGCATGGCAGAAGACAGTTGCTTGTTTCGTATCATAGGCTACTTATTGGTGGTACTGTACCATAAATAATGGGACTCCTCACGCAGCTTGTTTAGGGGACATGTCAAACGCTTTAGGTAAGAAATAATAATAACTAGGGAGCCCAAACTCACGTCACACCTTCCCCAGCACAAGAGCTACCTACCATCCAAATTTCATCACCATAGCATGTCTAGATCATGAGATATCAAAACCGGAAGTTCAGCTGCAGTACCATAACAAGCCGCTAGGGGGTCCAAAGTCTAATCATTTTGAGGTCTCATCAAGACCTACCTACCTACCAAGTATCAAGACAATCCATCAAGGCCTTCTCAAGTTATCGTGTTGACAGACACACACACACACACACACATACACGAACGCCCCTGAAAACATAACCTTCTTGGCGAAGGTAATAAATGGTTTATTGGCCAAACATCACCCGTGCAATCGCAGCCTTATAGTGCTGAATTGATGCAGGGTATACAATCACATGATACAAATGGTAATAATACACATAATACACATAATACACATAATACACATAATACACATGATACATAATTTGTTCCACCCACATTTTTGTGGAACTGTCGCAAGGGTCTGTGCGGCTGCCATTCGGCGCCACAAGATGACCTCAATACGACTTTCCCCAACCAAAGTTAGGTACCCATTCACACCTGGGTGGAGTGAGGAAAGTCGTGTAAAGTGCTTTTCCCAAGGGCACAATGTCGGGGCACATGTACAACTCGGGATCGAACCCAGCTCTCCCCGGTTCACAGTCGAATGATCTACCACTACGCCACCCGACGCCACAAAATGATGACAAAAACGTTCTAAGAAATGTCAGTATTTAAATAACAGGTAGATTCCCTCATACGTTTTGTTTTGCCGCATTCAAATTGCGTTGGATGCCTGTATGATCTTTTTTCTGTAGCTAGGAACGCATTGTCCCAAAACCATTTAAACATAAACTACTCAAGGCCACCTACAACAGATTTATCACACATTACAGTCTTCACCTGCCATGTACTTGGACCACTTCTTGTGGGTGTAGCTCTTGTATTGCTTCTAGTCTAAGTCTTATTTCAACACAATATATCATAACTATCTGAATTATGCTTAACCTTTAATTGATTGCCTATTCTGTGTATTTGTATACTTGTTGTTATTGACCATGTAAATTTTGATGTTGTATACATGTATGTGTTTTTGTATGGTGGAGGGCAACTTGTAAAGGTGCGTATGCACCTGTTCTGGCCTCCCCTTCACTTTGTAAACAATCAAAATAAACAAATAAACCAGCGGTATTTACCTATGAAATCTGTTGTCATTGATCCTCCTCAGTAGACTGATTTTCGTTTAAAATGTGTATTATGTTAATTAATGTTATCATTATGATCAGTTGCATTATTATTTTCATTACTATGATTATTATTATTATTATGATCAGTTTTTTTATCAGTTATTATTATGATCAGTTACGAGTTGAGTTATTATGATCATTACTACTTTGATTATTTAGTATAATACTATTATGATCACTTATTATTATGATCAGTTATTATCATGATCATTTATTATTTTGATCAGTTATCATTATGATCATTATTATGATCAGTTATTATTATGATCAGTTATTATTATGATCAGATATGAGTTGAATTATTATTGTTATTATGTAAAGGATGGTTTACCACATTGTATGTTTATTGTTTTTGATGAATAAAAAAATAAATAAAATGTGTTTGCATGCATCACAGTTGCCCTCCCCCTTGTACTGGTGAAGACGCACGTTGTGGAGCCAGCAGACCGTCTGTTTTACTGTGATGACGTCACGCTCTCGTTCCCAGCCAAGAAGGAACAGTTCCCGACCTGGCTGGTGTACGTTCTATGCCTGGCTATCCCAATGGTCACGGTAAATCAGTCAAAATTTTAATTTCTTGAGGCCACAGCAAGTAATTTTTATGGATGACATCAGCGCGCGCATTAATTTTCGCATGATTTTTGAAAAAAAAAAACAAGAAATTTTGTTGCCCTCTGACATTGGTCGAAAATGGGTAAAGATGTCTGTTTCCATGCTGGAAGGTGGATGGCAGATAAATATGAAGAGAGGAGACAAGAAAAGGCTCTGATTTAATGTTTTGTTTCTTACTTTGATGCAGTGATATGTAATGCTGGCTGTGTACATGTATATGTGATGTTCCCACTGAATCAGAACCATTTGTACAATGAGTCAAAATTTTTAATTGTAGGAACCTTGTTTTATTTCGGCTCGTCTTGCTTTTTTTCGCCCGCTCGCAATAGATTTGGAGTCTGCAGAGGATGCCATCCATAAAATTTACGTGGTGTGGCCTATTTCCAGTGAGGAATGGATATGAATGGAATGGAATAGTAACCGCTAAAGTCGCGAACTTTGTATGCTCCACCTCTACGGAGGATGAATGATGATGATGATGATGATGAAAGTCGCGAAAATTAAGTGACAGTTGATAAATCAATTACAGTATTTTTATCATTTGACTGAGACAAACAACGTCAGCCTAGTGGAAAGTGTATTTATAGTTATACATTTTGATATGGTATTTATCAATAAACGCGGTGCATTTCAATTACATTTTAAAGCTTCTGCATGGATTATGAAGTCATTCTTATGAATACAATAATATATTATCATTATTATTATTCATGTTCCTTCTATGGCAGCTCATACTTCACAAACCTCTGGATACGTCTGTATACGATGTATATATGATTTGAGTTTTGTATGTACAAATACTTATGTTTTGTTCCTATATTGCATAACTATGGGCCGATGAGTGAAAGTTAAACAATTGAAAAATAATAATGATAAAATACTAATGATAACTATAGTGAAAGTTCAGCTGTGTTGGTAGTAAAATCTTGGTTCATAGTAAAACGTTGAACTTTATTCCAACACACAGTTTACAGAGAGATCAAATTTTCAGCGACCACTGTCGCCTTCATCAAGATAATTACTGACCAATCACTTCACAACGTGATCTCGCGAGTGTTACGGTTTACAAACACGTGACCTTATTCACACCAGACTTGACTGAAACGTGACGTAAGCAATTGATCAAAAGTGCCAGGGAATTTATATCGTCCACCATTGTTGTGAAGTGATTGGTCATTAATTATCCTGATGAAGGCGACAGTGGTCGCTGAAAAATTGATCTCTCCGTAAACTGTGTGTTGGTATAAAGTTCAACGTTTTACAATAATGATAACTCTTCTACCAGATTGGGATTGTGGAGATGGAGGCCGTTAAACGCGTTCTTCTCCAGGCCGCAGCCAAGGCGAAGGATATAGACGAGATAGTCGACATGTCACGTGACCGTGTCTCCGACCTTCTTCACGGCCGGCTGACCCGGGCTCTACTGTCGTTCAAGTTCGGGTTCCTGCTGACGGACGCCACGGGCTGGGTCACGGCGCTCACCGTGGGGGAGTTCCAGCCGAGCTTCCTGAGCTACTGTAGGCCAAACGTTACCGACCCGGCATGCGCGATGGGGTTAGTCTCTGTCCGCGCATGCTCGAGGGACGGGTTAGAAGTCAATGACCACAGGTTTGTTGTGTTTTACGAAGGCCCACAACGACACTTCCGTGCACCTTTTCCACAGCCCTGACACACCGCGCTGCCAAGGGATAAACCTTCCATACCGCTCTTCCGCGGCCCTACCACAGCGCGCTGCCAAGGGATGTACCATGCAGCGCGGTATGGAAGGGCCGCGGAAGAGCGATATGGAAGGTATATTCCTTGGCAGCGCGCTGTGAAAGGCTGTGGAAGAGCGGTATGGAAGGTATATCCCTTGGCAGCGCGGTGTTGAAGGGATGTGGAAGAGGTGTATGGAAGTGTCGTTGTGGGCCTTCGTAGTGTTTTAGACCATTCCAGTCTTACTTGAAGTAGAAAGAAGTACCCTAGTAGTAAGTAATTTGTACTTAGGGGCAGGCAAATATAGAGAGCAACGATTACATTCCATTTGATAGATATTCTAACGCATTTGGTAAGAGAGAAAAGTAGTGCGACGTTCTTTTCATTTACATTTGTATTTCTTTTTATTTCTAGACTGTCTTACTGGTCAGAAAACGCAGCTATCTCCGCGTACAGTGTGTCATTCCTTATAGTAAGTATATACTATACGTATTTGTATTGTATAGCCTCTTAATGTTGTATTAACGTCTCTGATGCTGAAACGCTTATCCATGTATACTGTTGCAGTACCATACATATCTCAAATCAAAAGTAATACAGATGCCAGTGCTAGCGAGTTTATAGGTAGTACTTTAAGTAGTAATAATAAATTGCAAGGAACTGACTGGAGAGCCACGGCGATAAGCTATGATGATGATGAGTAATAGATAAATGTTTGTATTACTACTAAGAATTTATGATTCATTGATGATAGAGAAACAAAAGACAGACAAACGAAAGGAAGGCAGAGTGATACATAAAACAAATGAGTGATTAATGCATAAAAAAATTAAAAGATGGGAGAGATGGACCACAGCAGAAAAGCACGTCGTTTAAAGTTAAAACTTTAGATCAAACACAAGAAAGTTCTCTCACCTCGAGCTTTCGACCAGTCACTCTGGTCTTTCTAGGTGAGAGAACTTTATTGTGTTGGATCTAAAGTTTTAACTTTAAACATGTAACTGTCAACACAGATGAACTTTCATGATAGCAGAAAAGCACGTTTAGCCTTTAACATGACGTTTATTATTATATTCGTCGGGAAAGTTTTCAGTAGCGTTTGTCCGTCTGTTTGTCCGCATGTTTGGCTGTGAAAAATAATATCAAAACTTTCTGTTTTGATATCTCGTGATCTAGACATGCTAGGATCTCGAATATTGGGTGGTAGATAGCTCTTGGGGTAGGGAAGAAGTGACATGAGTTTGGGCCCCCTAGCGGCTTGTTCTTGAACTGCAGGAGCATAAGTTGAAAAATCTTCGAAGGAGAATAACTCAAGAACGGCTAGAATAGCCTTTTTTGTTAAGATAAGGCTGTCATTGGGTGGAGAATATGATCAACTGATATCATCTTTGCAAATGAGGCTCTTATTTGCAAGCTCAATGATTAAGATTTTATAATTCGTCAACCAGAAGGGTTAACATCATTTGGCGAAGGTATGAGATCGTGGAACTCTTGTTTCCAGATGTACCTGCAGGTCCGCTGGCCGTGGGGAGACCCGTTGTTAGTCCGGCCGCTGGTCCAGCTTCTCGCGCTCGTCCTGGCCCAGGTCAGCTCCCTGTCACAACTAGCCGACAACGAGCACGTCTTCGGCGAGATCCTGGCCGGCTGGATCTTCGGAGGGACCACCGCACTTCTCATGGCAAGTTTGATATACTTTTCTTAGATAAGGGAGGATATAGAAGCCTCTGTTACCTTTCTGACCGCATCGACCCCTCTTCTAGTACTGACATAGGTGACTGAAGTTTCCTCTGAAGTTGACTGAAGTTGACTGAAGTTGGTAGGACTTGATAACTGGCAGCAAGGAGGAAGTGATGACTCCACCCACTTAGGTCTTCTTTACAACAAGCCCTCTGTCCTTCTAGGCCCATTGGAAGACAGCAGACCATCTGATTGTGCCAATACATTCAGAAAAACTTAACTCTAGATACCATCCCGAATATCCAGAAACGTGAATGTCATCGATCTGACTGTATTTTTTCTGTTTCAGGTCGTTTTTGTGTCTGGGTTGCTTGATGTCAAGGTCAATGCTGACAAACCAGTCGAGGAGTCCAAACTCAGGAGAGAGGAACTGCATGTACTGGACTCAGGCTGGGATTGAGTTTGTACATTAGAATACTGCCGGACAATTTAATAATTGTGTTCACTTTGATAAAAACAAACAGTATCTATGATTATTTATGTTCAGTCTCTTGTAAATAAAGTCACGTGTCTGAAACCGTAACTCTCGCGAGATTATGTTTTGACGTGATTGGCAATTAATTATCCTGATGAAGGCGACAGTGGTCGCTGAAAATTTGATCTCTGTGTAATCTTTGAGTGAGAATAAAGCTCAACGTTTTACTATGATTACTACCAAGTACCAACACAGATGAACTTTCATGATAATCATGTAAAATTTATTTAATTTTCGATTTATTGTATTGACATAAATCCGTGCACATTGTAATGAAAGGTACGTTACTGTCTTAAGAAAAGTAAGGCATGAATATGTAATAGAAACGTAATATATATGAGCCATTCTTTCTGATCGATGATCATTATTTTTTTCTATTTATCTGATTTTTTATATCATACTTAGTGTTTGTTTTCTTGCAACCGCTGTTTTCGGTCCAAAATGAGACAAAACAGTTATGAACATCGAGAATACACCAGTGATATATACATTATAATATATCACACCAGTGATATATACAGTATTATTACTATTATATTTATTATTATAATATGATACATTATAATGTACAAGTAGCATCAGTCATCATTTTTCCAGCCTAAATTTTCATAATTTGTTGTTGGATGTAGTCACCGATTTTACCATAATACGTTTAATGCAGTCACCCCTCTCCCACATGTACAGTTAATCATATTTTTTGTCCATTACTTATCACTACTATACGGAATTATAGTCGCTGTGTCCGTGCCACAGTGACCAACACAAGTGACCACCACAAAGTTCGGTCCAGCCGCTACAGAGTACAGGTCCGGCACGTCGTTCATGATATGTCGGACAAACTTGCCGTCTCTGTCGAACACACTCACCCGCCAATTCCCCCTGTCCACCACGATGACATTACCCTGTCGGTCCAAGCAGATACCGTGCGGAGAGTCCAACTGTCCATCCCCGCTACCGAACCCTCCAAACTTCTTGTACTTCTTTGTAACGTCGCGACCCTCCATGAAAACATGGACGCAGTGCAGCCAACTGTCGGTGACGTACAGGTCTCCTTTCTGATTGACTGCGACTCCGGTCGGTTTTCGGGTGTTTCTGGGCCCCACGACCTTCACTTGGGTACCGTCGGGAGTGACAACTTTCACACAACTTTCGCTGTATCCTTTCCTTTCTACCATTCTTGTGCGCTGATCGGTGACTACGATCTCTACTGCATTCGTGTACTGTTCCAATCCATCATTCTCTTCTTCTTCTTTTTTTGGCTCCCCACCCTTCTTCTTCTTCTTCGAGGCGGCCTTTCCCGTTGACTGATCCTGCACGCGTACATGCCCGATGTCAGCCCTCGTAGCAATCCCACTGGTGACACCAGTAAGGGGAAGGTCAATCTTTGTCAGGAACCGACCTTCAGTTGAGAACTGTGTGAGCAGATTCTGACATACGTACGCCTTCTTTTCCACCATGAACACCGTCCCAACAACCCACAGGTTCCCGTCCTTGTCCACAGACAAGTCGCGAGGTCGGAAATGTTTACCTTTCGTCACAGTGTTGAAAGCCCGGACGACTTTGCCTCGGGTGTTGCATACGACGATTCTCTCGTTGAAAGAATCGGCGACGAAGAGTTCCGAAGTTTCTGACACAGCGACTCCGGTCGGGCTACAGAACTGGTTCCTTCGCGAGCCTCTGCCTCCAAACTTTACCATCTTCACTTCCTTTTCTTCATCCTCGTCCTTCTTTTTATCGTCTTTGGTTGTCTTTCTCCAGAACATGTTGACGTTTAAACCTAACAGCTATTTGTACATACATGAATGCTTATCAAGGTAATTAAGGCTGCTCACAAAACCTGCCAAACCAGAACAGAGGTGAAGCCGTGCGGCCTTTACCTTTGAGGTCAGACCGTTGAACAGAAGCAAAACATCTCTAAAATACTAGTTTTCGTAAATTCATCTTAACAACAAGAAATATTCATCTAAAAAAAAAGAAAGAACAAAAAAAAAAACAGTTTAAGAGCACTTTGGAATGACATTGCGCTCATTGTTACATAAGTTTCATACTTGATTGAATAGCACCATTGTTAGATAGGCCACGCCTCCTCTCTTACGTGCACTTACGACCCAACTCCGCTGCTATGGGTGATTGTGAAGTGACTTGAAACAACTAGTGTCCTTAGGCGGATGAGATCGCTTTCTGTCAGTCAGTGTTCTGTCTGAAAAGATAGCATGAGGAGAGGTGAGCGTAGTTTTGAGTGTTCCCCATACCTGTATTTGAGTAGCCACCTTGCGGAAAATAATGGTATTTCTGTTACCGTGTGCATGTGGTCTCTTGTAATTGATTTAGACCAGGATGTATGTAAACAAATTATAATCAATAACTAGAATTCAAACATGGTATGTTTTTCATAATTTTCACATTCGCCTTTGACCTTGAAGATGACATGCGCAGATGTCTCATTGTCTCGTCAAACCAGTTTTACTAGTACAACACTACGTATGCATTTTGTACTCGTAAAGTACGAAAAATCAGCTGGCAGTCAACATGGCCAACAAAAACGGCAACAACGACAAAAGGAATAACACTGAACAAGAGGAGGCCGTGGAGATGGTGAGGTTTGGCGGTAGAGGATCAAGAAAGACCGAATTCCGTCGTCCAACCGGGGTCGCCGTTTCTCAAGCTTCGGAAATCTTCATCGCTGATTGCTTAAACGAGCGTGTTGTAGTGTGTAACACCCGCGGGAAGGTCGTCCGGACGTTCGACACGGCAGTGAAGGGTATCTTTACGAGAAAGTCCTTCCGACCAAACGACGTGGCCTTTGACAGGGACGGTAACCTGTGGGTTGTTGGGACTATCATCGTAAACGAGAAGGATCTTCTTTCTGATAATCTGCTCGCACAGTTCTCAACTGAAGGTCGGTTCCTGACAAAGATTGACCTTCCCCTTACTGGTGTCACCAGTGGGGTTGCTACGAGGGCTGATATCGGGCATGTACGCGTGCAGGATCAGTCAAAGGGAAAGGCCGTCTCGAAGAAGAAGAAGGGTGGGGAGCCAAAAAAGTCCGAAGAAGAGAATGATGGACTCGAACAGTACACGAATGTGGTAGAGATCGTAGTCACCGATCAGCGAACAAGGATAGTAGAAAGAAAAGGACACAGTGAAAGTTGTGTGAAAGTTGTCACTCCCGACGGTACCCAAGTGAAGGTCGTGGGGCCCAGAAACACCAGAAAACCGACCGGCGTCGCAGTCAATCAGAAAGGAGACCTGTACGTCACCGACAGTTGGCTGCACTGCGTCCATGTTTTCATGGAGGGTCGCGACGTTACAAAGAAGTACAAGAAGTTTGGAGGGTTCGGTAGCGGGGATGGACAGTTGGACTCTCCGCACGGTATCTGCTTGGACCGACAGGGTAACGTCATCGTGGTGGACAGGGGGAATTGGCGGGTGAGTGTGTTCGACAGAGACGGCAAGTTTGTCCGACATATCATAACGGACATGGCAGATCCGTGTGCTGTGGCAATTGGGCCGAACTTTCTGGTGGTTACCTGTGTTGGTCACTGTGGTACGGACACAGTGACTATAATTCCATACAGCCATTAGCTATAGCTACGTTTGATACTGTAGAATAGTTTGCTTACGACTTCTACAAGCCGAATCTACCGAAATTAATAAACTATCAGTAGAGCCATCCACACGCAGACGACAGTTGAGACAAAGTCGGTCACCACTGAGACAGTCGCGCCCCCTGTCGGATATGTAACGAAACGACTACATGTTATTCATTTCACTTTTACTAGAATAAAGTATCAGATCAAACCACACATACGTTATTGTAATTTTTTCAGCATGAAAAAAAATTTTATTCATGTGAACAAAGTAATTCAAAAGTACGTAACCTATGCCAACCACCTATACATAACTTGTAAAAGTAATTTTTATAAGAAAAAAATGTTCAACTTCATTAAACTATCAAATGATGCAATCATAAAATTTCCAGCAGTTACTATTATGGAATTACGAAATGTTCCATCAATTATGCAAATTAGGCCTTCATTTACATAATTGACATATGCTGATGTCCTTTTGTCCTTAATTACATATGTCACAAGTTTGATCGGTTATATCGTGGAACGCAGTAGTTTTATAGAATTTCCTAATTAATTGTGCAAATTGGATCCTTATTTGCAGAATTGTCATCTAATTATGTCAAACATCACTTAAGCTACCTATACACCAAAAATCATGACGTTTCCTCAACCGGTTCTTGAGTTATCCTCCTTGAAATAATTTTCAACAAACGCCCCTGAAGTTCCAGCGCAAGCCGCTAGGGGGTACCAAACTCATGTCATTTCTACCCCAACAAAAGGAGCTACCTACTATCCCAATTTCCCCCAAGCATGCCTAGATCATATCAAAACCGCTGCAAAACAATAACAAGCCACTAGCTAGGGGGCCCAAAATATAATCATTTCGAGGTCGCAACCTATCCACCTACCAAATATCAAGACAATCTATTCAAGCCTTTCGAGTTATCGTGTTTACACACACACACACACGCACACACACACACGAAAGCCTATGAAAACATAACCTTCTTGGCGAAGGTAAATATAACCTCCATGACATTCCATGGAGGTGTAATAACTACTGATAGGATACAGTGGATAACCCCTTAAGCTTAGAAGTGGATAACATTGAGTTCTTACCGACGGGACAATTCTGTTCGTCGGAGTTGTCAGGGCAGTCGTTGACGCCATCGCAACGGTCCCCTGGCCGGATGCACTTCGACCCGTCAGCACAGGTGAAGCCGTCAGTCGCCGCACAGTCATCTGGGAAAAGAGACACAGGTATAACCATCATGAAAGTTGATTTGTGCTAGTAGTTACATGTTTAAAGTTAAAACTTTTGGTCCAAGACAAAAAATTCTCTCACCTAGAGCTTTCGCCCAGTCACTCTGGTCTTCCTCAGTAGACTGACCCAGTGAAGCTTGTCACGTGGCTTCTTTGAAGCGTGACGTCAACACTGGGTCAAAGCTTGTCACGCTTCAAAGAAGCCACGTGACAAGCTTCACTGGGTCAGCCTACTGAGGAAGACCAGAGTGACTGGTCGAAAGCTCTAGGTGAGAGAATTTTTTGTCTTGGACCAAAAGTTTTAACTTTAAACAGACACAGGTATACTTTCACAGCAGGCTGACGAGGTTCCACTTGAGTTTTGTGACTTCAAGGCGTCGTTACAATATAGATATAGAAGGTTATATTCCACGAGGAGACAATGGATTAGGGCCTAGCCACTTTTTGTCACGACAAATGAACAAATTTTGTGGTAAGAACCATCCATGTTTTTTGCTGAATCTTTTATACTGTGAAAACTCGACTGTAGACAGGAGGGTAAGAATGTTGTTGGTCAGCAGAAATGCCTTCAGCTATGAAAATTTGAATAATCTCAGATAAAGTAACCCCATGATGAAAATATGAAAATTATTTTTTTGGAACCATCTTTACTCATTAGAATGAGCATGTAACCCTGTAGACAGCTTTGATTTTTGACTGTGATAGTTACTCACAAGGAGGAGTCCAGTTTTCGTCCCAGCCGAGCGTCTCTCCGACGTTCTGTGCTTCCAACCAAGTGATGAGTGGTTGGAAGTACTCCACGATCGGCTGAGCTGACATCGTCCTTTGGCCAGTGATCACCTCCATGGCGTCCGGCCACGGTTGACTGGAACCCATCTGGAGCATTCGGCTGAGTTTGTGTGTGTGTGTGTGTGTGTGTGTGTGTGTGTGTGGAGGGGGAGAGGTGGCATTATTACTCTCAATAACCGCACCGTTGTTTCAATAAAATGCTACCAGAACGTAAATGAAAATCAGAGTAGATAGAAGATACAAAATGTACTACTAAACAATATTTCCTATGGCGTGGCCATATTCGTCGAAGGTAGTCATGCAATCTTGATGCCGTAGAATTTTCAAGCAGACTGGAACAGAACTAACCACACACAAGGCTCCAAGACAGTATGAGATCCAAGGCTTACTAGTTACTACTACAACTACTACACTACAGTAACTACTTCTAGAACAAGTTAAGCCAGGAGGTCTACACTAATAGCACAAGAATGCCCTCAGATTGCAATATTACTACAATAGCACCACAGACATTGCCGGGTACTAAGGTGTTGTAAACAAAGAGGAGTACACAGAGACAAGTGTTTTAGCTCTCGACAGGAATATGATATAACAACTCACGCCAACTTCTCCCCAGCGGCCGCCTTGTTGGGCCCTGCAGAGATGTCACACTTGTGCAGCGGGCCGGTGTGCCCGGAAGTCTGACACAGGGCCTGGTGGAACTGGAACTGAACTACAAAACTCACGAAGTACCTACATATCGAAACAACGCCAAGGTTTTAGTTTGTCAACTCCCTTTATAAAGGATAATCTAACAGATACGGTATGAAATCATATTTTAAGCAAACTTAGAGCATGTGCAAAGGTAAGAAAGAATGGATTGATTTTGTGAAGTAGAACATACTAGTAAATGTTCGTATTGGCCTATATCTTATCGAGATCACTTTATGTGTTTGTGACTTTTTTCAAATGTTTACACATTCCTTGCCATATATGTAATACAGTGTAATCAACAAGAAACAGACCTGATGTAAGGGGTGTTGTCAGGGATGTGGAATTTAGCTCCGGGGTCAAAGTCTTTGTCGGGGTTCCTCGGGATAGGTGGCACGATACCCTGGTAACGAGTCCTGGATGGGGAAAGTACCCTATTAGTGTACGGTACAGAGATACTGTTGTAACATATATATGTACGGTACAGAGATACTGTTGTAACATATAATTATATGTACGGTACAGAGATACTGTTGTAATGTATATATTTGGACCCTGCTTGAGAGTGGGTTTGTCTTGGTTTTGATAGACTGTGTGATTCTGACCTAAGTTTCACCACTTCTAACTGGACGTGGGTTAGGTTTGTCCTAGTTCTGATAGGCTGTGTGATTCTGACCTGAGTTTCACCACTCCTAGTTGGACGTGAGTTATGTTTGTCCTAGTTCTGATAGCAATGCTCCATCCCTGTCCAGTCCTTCCCTTACAGCATCTGTGGCCGCTCGTGTGCGTCAAAAACTGGTCTTTATTCCCATATGAGGACCCACACCGGCAAATAAAGACCTGTTCGCCTACTCATCTGTCGCAGCGACAGGAGATTCCAACACAGTTCTGATAGGCTGTGTAATTCTGACCTGAGTTTCACCACTCCTAGTTGGACGTGAGTTAGGTTCGACCTAGTTCTGATAGACTGTGTGATTCTTACCTGAGTTTTTCCACTCCTATGCTACTTGGACGTGTGTTAGGTTTGTTCTAGTTCTGACAGACTGTGTGATTCTGATTTGAGTTTCATTACTTCTAGCAGGACGTGAGTTAGGTTTGTCCTAGGTCTGATAGACCGACAGTGTGTGATTCTGACTTGAGTTAGTTGAACGTGAGTTAGGTTAGTCCTAATTTTGATAGACTGAGTGATTCTGACCTGAGTTTCACCACTTCTAGTTGGACGTGAGTTAGGTTTGTCCTAGTTCTAATAGGCTGTGTGATTCTGACCTGAGTTTCACCACTCCTAGTTGGACGTGAGTTAGGTTTGTCCTAGTTCTAATAGGCTGTGTGATTCTGACCTGAGTTTCACCACTCCTGGTTGGACGTGAGTTAGGTTTGTCCTAGTTCTGATAGGCTGTGTGATTCTGACCTAAGTTTCACCACTCCTAGTTGGACGTGAGTTAGGTTTGTCCTAGTTCTGATAGACTGTGTGATTCTGACCTGAGTTTCACCACTCCTATCCTAGTTGGACGGGAGTTAGGTTTGTTACTCCGTGAAGGAGGTCAGGACCTCCGGACGGAGTGTTGTAATCGGCTGATTTTTCATGTTCGCAGTCAAAACACCGGGTTCTCTTTGTGTAATCGGCACGCAATTTTATACGCCGTCTGCGGGCATGCCCGTGTTGATGCACGAATGTGTATTTTGCCGTTGCTGCTTTCGCGGTCAATGTAATATCGCAGACGCACCCCTACAATTACGAGGCGAATTGGAATGGTCCAGAAAAACGCGTTGTTTGGAATAGCAGTGGAGTGGGAAAAAGTTCATGCAGATACGGGGTGGTTTTTATAAGTGGTTCCAGATGTTTTTGCCCATGGTTAAGAGATGCCAAGTTTTTTGGAAGATGTTCGCAGCCAAAACGCATTCTTCCGTACGTCGCATTTCTGTGTAATTTCGCATGTGGTGTGGCATTATGTCCGGGATGATGCACGTCTTTTTATTTTTACCGTAGCTGTTTTGATATTGAAGTAAATGCATATTTTAGAAACATCCCTACTTTTACAATCCTGTGGAATAGGCCGTAGGTTTAGGCAGTTGTCTGGTAGCAGAGGTACTGTAAGCAGATATCCTGGTTATCTGGCCGGCGGTAGTAACACTCGCCGTGCTTACCGCAACTGTTGCTGGAATTTGGCCTGTTCCAGGCGCGCTTAATTAGGTACAGGCACAGTAATGCTTCGGTCCCAATTGCGCCGGTGCCCGTCGGGGATGTAGCCCGGGCCGGCTCCCGCCGGGCTCTGGAGCCTGGCGGGCACCGTTTGTTGTGGTCACAATTAAAAGTTTCCTTCAGTGGCATTTTGTCACCCTTCTTGGTCGTTCTCCGGCAGGCACCCGGCAGGTACCCGGCAGCTTCTCTGACGATGTCTTGTACTGACCCACTTAATATAGAGTTCACGCTTTTGTTGTGATCATTTCATCTGTGACGTCACACATTTACCCGGGTTTACGAAGTACACACCTTTATTCTGTTCATCTGGTCTGTGACGTAACAAATGTGTCCCGGTGAACTGCCGGCAACCGGAGGGGTACCTGTCGGTGTTCTCATGATGAGGTCACGACGTCTTTTTGTCGGCGGGGCCCGGGTAGAATTTAATTCAGAATTAAATTCTTCTCGGGTCCCCGCCGGGCCAAAAAATAGACCGGTAGCCGCAGGGTGTCCGGCGGGGCCACGTAGGGGTCACGCCCGAAAGTGCCATAAAACAGCCCGGGAACTACCCGGCAGGGCCCCTTTTTCAATTGGGACCGAAGCATAAGACGGTGGGGCTGTCTTTGTTACTAGACACGACCATGATAGTCCGATCTTTATGTGAATGCAATGATTGTGTGTGTGTAAATAAAATGAACTTCGAACTTGAAGCACAGTATCTTTACACGCCCTGGGAGCAGTAATGGATTTAGCTCTTTGTATGTTTTATGCTTGTGACGCGCCCTCATTGTATTAACCGTTGCCTAATTATAATGTCTGCACAGTAGGTCTGGCGTTGACGCTTGGGATTTTGTTGAAATATATAAAACTTCACGGAGGATTGTCACCTATGGCTTCTTGTTCTAGTTCTGATAGATTGTGTGATTCTGACCTGAGGTTCACCACTCCTATCCTAGTTGGACGTGAGTTAGGTTTGTTCTAGTTCTGATAGACTGTGTGATTCTGACCTGAGTTTCACCACTCCTATCCTAGTTGGACGGGAGTTAGGTTTGTCCTAGTTCTGATAGATTGTGTGATTCTGACCTGAGGTTCACCACTCCTATCCTAGTTGGACGTGAGTTAGGTTTGTTCTAGTTCTGATAGACTGTGTGATTCTGACCTGAGTTTCACCACTCCTATCCTAGTTGGACGTGAGTTAGGTTTGTTCTAGTTCTTATAGACTGTGTAATTCTGACCTGAGTTTCACCACTCCTAGTTGGACGGGAGTTAGGTTTGTCCTAGTTCTGATAGACTGTGTGATTCTGACCTGGGTTTCACCACTCCTATCCTAGTTGGACGTGAGTTAGGTTTGTTCTAGTTCTGATAGACTTTGTGATTCATGACCTGAGTTTCACCACTTCTAGTTGGACGTGAGTTAGGTTTGTCCTAGTTCTGATAGACTGTGTGATTCTGACCTGAGTTTCACCACTCCTATCCTAGTTGGACGTTAGATTTGTCCTAGTTCTGACAGACTGTGTGATTCTGACCTGAGTTTTATCACTCCTAGTTGGACTTGAGTTAAGTTCGTCCTATTTCTGATAGACTGTGTGATTCTGACCTAAGTTTCCACCACTCCTGGTTGTAAGTTGCCGGAGTGATAGAGCCATTGAAGACCGCCCATCTCCACTGGTCCATCAGGTAGGCAAATGGCAGGAACGCGATCTTGTCCAGGGCCATATTCATCAGGAAGTTGATGTCAGACTCTGGATCATGAGAGGATTGAAGAGATAGGTTATTTTCACAAAACTATTATTTTACCTATTTACATATTACTTACCAAAGAACAAACTAGAGACAGATCCTCTGCTATAAGGCCTACCGTTGTCGTCTTCGACGGTGTCCAAGAGGCCGATTCCCTGTAAGTGTATCGGAGTGGCCACGGACAGAGCCAGCAGATCTCCCACCGCTTCATGGAAGCCTGGGTTTGCTCCCCACCGGAACGGAACGGGATGGTGCTTGTACTGTAGGTAGTACTCGATGTGACCCATCTCGTGGTGGATGGTGACCAGGTCGTTCATGTTGATGTTGGTGCACATTTTAACCCTGTATATATATACAGCAAATGTATATAATCATAAATATCTTTATTATCAAAACATACGTTGAACTTTACCTTGTCACATCTTATGATTTGTATCATTGATTCAGAATTCATTGCGGCATTCGAGAACTATTCTTTCTCTGTGCCTTTTCAAAACTTTAGTCACCATAACTGTCCTGTAGTCTCAATCAGACTAGCATCTCACAAAGTAAGTAATTTGTAATATGTATTCCCATGCATGTCTAACGATTTTCATCTTTTCCCCAGGGTTTCCATTAGTAACAGTCTTTGACTAGTTGGTACACCCTGGCTTCTTTGTAAGCCGGAATAAACCAGACTAGCAGCGCAGGCCGAGGGCGAACGACTTGCTGGTGTAGGCTGAGTGACCTACCTGACATCATGCGCGTTGTAGAAGTCCCATGCGGACGCGTGACAGACCACTTCTCTGTCTGCCGGTTTGACGAACATGGAGTTGTCCCAGAAGTTCTGCGGCATCTCCAATTGACCCATCTCCTTAAAGAATTCGTCTGCTGTACGGAACATCCGATCGACCGTCCATCCCTGATATGGGCATTAATCACTGTTAGAACTGACATAGCTGCGAGCTTGTTCATGTATGAGATATAAAGTATGAACTAGAAAGGTAACATTTGCAAAGCAAATGCATAATGTTTACCTTCGCATATGATCTGCTCTGTTAATTCTTACTCAAACGCATTCACATAAATGGTGACAGGAGTCTAAATCCCTCCTACTATAAAATTGCACGTACATAATGCTGCAATTTTATAGTAGGAGGGATTTAACATTGTAACACAACACCAGTTACCATGGTGAGAGACAACATGGTTCAGGTCATTGACCAGGTTAGAGGTCAGTGTTTTTATTTATTTATTTAGTATTTGGAACAGAAGAAGAAGAAACAGAGCAAAAACAATATGCTTTCCTTCGGTAAACATAATAAAGAAGTGGCGGCGGATATGTACGTTATGCTACATTATCATGTCTTCTTATTGTTTGATGTTTGATGGATCATCGCTTCAATGTATCGATTCTTGTCGTACTCAAGCGATAGCTACAAACATGTCTCTTATGATTTGCAAACCCATTAATTTTCCACCTCTGTATCCCCATTGGGGTGCATCAGTGCAACTTTTGGTCATTGTACAGTAATCTTTTAAACTGTAAACCTTAAACTAAGGTTAAAAACATTCTGAAGGCACATCGAATCACGACGATGAGTTAACGTTATGCTCCTTAAAAGATTTCCTCTCAAGCATTCCCCGCAGTTCCAGAACAAGCTTCTGGGGGGGGGGCAAGCCCATGCCACTTCCTTCATTATACCAGAGCCGTCTACCATCCAAAATTCTTTGCATGTGCAAATTATGAGATAGCAAAATCGGCAATTCCGCTGCAGTATCATGACAAGTCGCCGGGGGAGGCAAAATGATAACTTCATACCCGCCCACCTACTAAGGACCAAGGCAATATACGCAGGCCTATATCTAGCACATCAGAGACGTTCTCGGCAAAGAATTGCTTCAAACGGTAGGATATAAATGAAAGGGATCTGCTCACATCTGCCTGCATCTTCGGTGTCACATCCAGGCTTGTCTTGCCAGGGTAGGGCTCCACTAGGTCGTAGATGTTGCTCCAGAATTGGGACCACATGTTACCTACATCGATCACACGAGTCAATGTGTTACCAAGGATAGAATGAAACAAGGGACCATTTGGCTCAATGTTTATAATTAGGTGTTAATGACCCGCCCCGAGGTAAATATGGTGCATAAAGCCTTGTCAATTGCTATAACCACCAAATGAAGCCACAAAGTGAGCGCAGCGAACGAGATGGCTTTATGAGTGACTATAGCAACTGACAAGGCTTTATTTCACCATATTCACCGAGAAGGGGCTTTTATCATATAGCTAATCAAAACTTACACAGTAAAGAGTGACATTTACATACAAACTTAAATAGAACATAGTTCCATCTGAAGTCACCTGAGGTCACTGGGGCAGGGTCTTGGAACAGGCATGGAACAGGTGTTCTATTTGGGTCACCTGAGGTCATATGCGGGTGATTATTGGGTTGTTTAATGTATGGATTGTGATTATTAAAGACCCGGCTTTGACTCTATCTCTGACATTACGGCGTTATAAGGAATGTGGAATTTAGCCTTCTGATTGGTCAACGTCACCCGGCTATATGATAATAAGTGATAGTGTCTGCCAGGCTCCTTTTATCATGTATTTGTACTCCGACTGTACAAATTAGTGGCGTCGCGTGGCGCAGTGGACAGAGCGTTCGGCGCTCAACAAAGAGCCCCGGGTTCGATTCCGGGTCGGAGCACAGGGGCATGTCCGAACATGCGCACCGACGTTGTGCCCTTGGGAAAGGCACTTTACACGTATCCCCCCTCAAATAGAGGGACAAGTCTCCAACGGCAGTTGTCTTCAGCTGGCGGACGAGAGCAGCGCCAGGCGGGCTGGCGTAGTCAAGGCGGACCTTGAGCGTAACCAAGTCATCCGGCAGCTCGCTGCAAGCATCCCAACCGGAACCAGCACGTCTCCCTCGATGTGGATCCGCTGGGGAAGACGGGTGCCCAAGTGTGTGGGTCTCAGATTCGCAACCTGTTATCCACCTTAAACAAATTCACGCGAAGGCCGCCGTGTCAACTGTAACCCTCACTCAGGTGTAGGGACTGACACGGTCATACTACTCGGAAAATCTGTATATCTGTATATCTGTACATGAATCTGTATCTGTGCATGAATATGTACCTGTACATGAATCTGTATCTGATTGCAAATAAAGATATCGAGTGATTGCCATATATAGTGTACTCCGACTGTAAAGAAGATCTTCAAGGAAAACTTTTATACTGATACGGTAATGGATTTTACGATCACTGATCTAGATATGCCAATTATCAGCATGTAATGCATGAAAGACTGGATCAATGTGTAGTTGTACTGTATTTACCTAACGGATGTGCAGGGATGGGCCCAGTGACTTGAACCACCAACATTTGTAAGCATCGCACATGATCTGTGCATCAGCGTTGGAAATTAGGTAAACTTACATACAGCACCTACCATTGACTATTGCTTGTTAGCCCTATGTTTCTGATATCACACAAACTTAGCAGATGAGCAGGGATGGGCCCAGTGGCACTGATCTTGTCTTGTCCGTATGTAGCCCTGAGCTTCTTCCTGACGTAAGCGTGCAGGTTGTTGTACAGAGGCGTGAGCTGGTTGTACAGGTTCTCCAGTTGTTCCTGGAAGTCAGCTGTCTCGTACCAGGAGCGCCAGTACGCTCCCGTGTCTTCCCATCTCCGAGCTGCATTGATACATAACGTGGCATGTGACATTTCGAGCAAAAGTGACAAATAGAATAAAGTTAGTTTAAAACTCCCACCCACAACTTTCGGCGCAGAAGGGCAGTGCTACTCTCCATGTCTATAGCGCTTGCACCACAGAGGCTAGCCTCTACCAGGATTAGGGAAGCGGGAAACTGTTCTTTCAGCGAGGACCAACTCTCATCAGTTTCTTAATATGCTATTCAAATTATCGATTTGATAAACGTGTTATTATACTATGTTGTTATAAAATTGCTGTTGTGTTCTGTATGAAATTGCTGTTATGTTGTGATTGAAGTTGTGAAGGGTTTGTGTTACCGCTTTTCTTCATCTCTTGTTTGAGGCGGCCACCTTCAACAGGATGAAGATTCTTCCGCCTTTTGTGTGCTATTATCGTTTGGTTTGGTTATTCTGTGTACTTTCAACAGCTAGATATAGAGACATCATAATCGTAAAAAAAATTCCTGAATATTATACCTACATAAGCCCTTTTTATGAACCCGGCGGTAGGAAATATTAGATTTCTCCTAATTATTGTTTTTGGCGCGTCTCTGTGTGTGTGTGTGTGTGTGTGTGTGTGTGTGTGTGTTTCCGCACATTTGTAGTCAGCATAACTTCAGAACGCCTTTATGGATTGTGATGATATTTGGTATGCTGGTAGGTCTTAGGAAGCCGAAGGTCAAGGTCAAATATGGGCCTCCTGATGGCTGACCTTGATACTGCAGCAGAAATTCCGGTTTTTGTATCTTTTTTGCAAGGCAGGGAAAACAGATGTGCGGGGCATAACACGTGTTGGAGGTAGCGCGGTTTGATTAATGAGGTTCTCCCTCTGGAATAGGCTACATGTACAGTTGACCCCTGAGTTGACCAGATCTATTACAGCCTGACCTATTTCAGGCCAAAGGTGTTACTGTATTATCTATGTATTTGAAAACAAAAACCTGTGTTATTTTGTTCTGTACTGTAGTGTAAAAACATTAAAAAACTTATATTTCATGGAGGTATGAGATCTCCGAATTCTTGTTATTGAGATGTCATTGAAACACTTTCTCATCTGTTGAATGTGACTCTTATTTTTCTAATACCACGTCTGTATGTGAGGATGAATCCGATTCAGCATCTTACCATCTTGCCTAACGGCATCGTTACTGAGTTCCACGAAGCGAGGGTACTTGTCCTTCAGCTGCCTGCCTACGCCGTCCCGCCAGCCTTCCCAGCAGAACCGCAGCCGGTCGTAGTCACGCTCTTTAGCCAGGCAGTTGTATAAATCTGTACACAGAAACACGTTCAGATGGGTAGAGCGTTGAACATTGAATAGCTTTCCCTTCAGTTCATCTCAACTCCTTAGTTCTTGAAGACTGCAGCATTAAATTAATTCTCTCCTGAACTACAATTCTTTGGTCCTTTTTTTACCTTGTTCTTGTATCGTGTACAGGGGTGCCAGTGTATACAGGGCAATTTTACGGTATACCGTGCAAGTTTACTAGTATACAGTGCAATTTTACGGAATACGGTGCAATCCTATTTAGTATACAGTGCAATTTTACGGAATACAGTGCAATTGTATTGCTGACGGAGCGTACTCACATCTTTCTGTGTTTTTCGAGCGAATTTGGACCATTCCCATAGATAGACCTTTACTAGTCAAATCACTACATATTACACACAGGGAATGTCACTACACAGGGATCATTTTGAATTCGCTCGAAAAAGACAGAAGTATTTGAGTCAGCGGCGTCCGCCATCTTGAAACTGAGAAAGCAGGGAAAGCCGGGTCCAAGTATTGCACTTTACGATTGCACTGTATTCCGTAAAGTTGCATTGTATACTAATACGATTGCACTGTATTCCGTAATATTGCACTGCATACTAGTAAAATTGCACTGTATACCGTAAAATTGCACTGTAAATATACTCTGGCACCCCTGGTGTAGTTATCGCTCTTATAACGCCCTTATAACATTAACGGTCCGCCTCCCTTACCTGGGTTCAGCGCCAGACAGTTGGACGGGTTGTCGTACTCACACGCCTTCCCAGTGGAGTAGATGTCTTCCATCTCTGAGAGTACCTTGTTGAGCTGAAAAACAGCAACGAAAAAAAAAGATTTGAAAACATTTTAATTGGATTGAAAGTGACAGTCAACAACTTTACTACTTTCAAATAAAATATATGTGTTCATAGGGATACGTGTGGATGGAATATTTTCGTAAGACATCTAGGATCAGAAAACAACGGATGGCCGCTGGGACCTATTCACCAGTTTCTCATCCCCAGAATGTAATGCGAAAATAGGGGGTAACCCTCATTTGCATAGGACAGGAAGGCATCGGAATGATCCTGGTGACGTTAAACAGCTTGTTTTTCACTGTGTTTTGAGGTGTTGGGGCATTTTATGCTCAACATTAATTAAATTACTATGGGTTAAATCTGAAAACAAATAGAGAATGAATTTTTTTGGAATATGTGGTTTGTAACGTTATTGTGGTGACACTATACTGTTGCTGTAACGTTATAAACCACATGTTCCATGTTGAAAAGAACACTAAAACTTCATTCTCTATTTGTTGTTAGTTTCGGCCCATAGTAATTTAATTAATGTTGAGCATAAAATGCCCCAACACCTCAAACCACGGTGAAGATCAAGCTGTTTAACATCAACAGGATCATTCCGATGCCTTCCAGTCCTATGCAAATGAGGGTTACCCTCCTATTTTCGCATTGCATTCTGGGGATGGGAAACTGGTGAATAATCGAACGACATCTGCCGGATTTACATATTACTGCAGTACTGACCTCCTCCAGTTTTGCCTGGTCAGTCTGAGCTGCGGTTCCAAGACCAGTGATTTTATCAAAGAGTCTCTTGAGTGTTGCATTGTTGAAGTTCTGCCAGTCAAACCTGGAGCCATTTCGAGCCACTTCTTTGAGGAACTGGGATTCTACCAACCTGGCTTCAACCTGACAAACAAATATTAGGTTATGTTGATTACAGGGCTCGAAATTCTTTATTTTTAAATATTAGTTTTTGCTGACATTCTACTTATCTTACATGGTGCACCTACAATATTTTTGTGCACTCTATTTTTTTAGGTTGAGTGACACTGGTGCACTCAACCTAAAAATAATTTAGTGCACAAAAATAGTTTCATTTCAAGAAAAGTACTATAATTATAACAATGATTGTATTGTTTTTTCTGACACTTAGATGTTAAGAATATGCAAAAAAAGTGAAATAGAAGCATCTTATTTTAGGAGCATCCTATTTTATATAATCAAGGAGCATCCTATTTTTTTAAGAATATGCTGTAACTACTACACATTTATTATCTTTACATACGTCAAACCTAAGAAAATATTTGGGTGCACTGGTGCACCCACAGAAAAAAAATTGGGTGCACAGCTCCAAATTTGGGTGCACCAACGTGCACATGCACCCAGTATTTCGAGCCCTGACTTACTTCATAAGTCGAGATCGTCGTATAGCAATATTGCATTACAATTTACATTTTCAATCCCATAATTGAAACATCGACTGGTCATTCACCAGTTTCCCATCCCCAGAACGCAATGCGAAAATACGGGGGTAAACCTCATTTGCATTGGACTGGAAGGCATCGGAATGATCCTGTTGACGTTAAACAGCTTGTTTTTTTTACTGTGTTTTGAGGTGTTGGGCATTTTATGCTCAACATTAATTAAATTACTATGGGTTGAATCTGAAAACAAATAGAGAAGGAATTTTTTGGAATATGTGGTTTGTAACGTTGTAGTGGTAACGCTATACTGATGCTGTAACGCCACAAACCACATGTTCTATGTTAAAAAGAACACAAAAACTTCATTCTCTATTTGTTGTCAGATTCGTCCCATAGTAATTTAATTAATGTTGAGCATAAAATGCTCTAACACTTCAAAACACAGTGAAAAGCAAGCTGTTTAACGTCAACAGGATCATTCCGATGCCTTCCAGCCCTATGCAAATGAGGGTTACCCCCGTATTTTCGCATTGCATTCTGGGGATGGGAAACTGGTGAATGGTTTTGTGTCAATGGACTTGCACATCATTGAAGCTCACTAAACTATACACCTTTCAAGTCTGACGTAACTTACACATGTTATAAGGTATGAAATTCCCATCATTCACCAATAAGGAATTACAGAATTTTCATTGATTATGCAATAATTTGCATAAATGGTATCTGTTGATGTTCCACCTGCCATAGATTGTATAAAAGTACTATTAGGCCACACCGACTTAATTTTATGGATGACATCCTCTGAAGACCCCCAAACTAGTGCGCGCGGGCGAATAAAAAAAATCCGGCCAAAAATTAAAAAAAAATGCTACTAAACCACAGGAATACAAAGCTGGTATTGTGCATTTTTTGGTATTGCGGCAGTACTTAGCGACGTATATGAGTTCTTCAGTCGTGGAGCTTCGGTAGCCTGGGTGCCCGGCTCCATATTGTCGCTAACTACCATGATGAGCTAGAGCCAGGCCTTATCCTTTTTACGCGTAAAGCAGTGCAAAAAAGAAAGTCCGATAAAAAAGCCTCAAAATATATATACGCCAAATTTTTGCCAAAATTTTTTTCATGCATCAACTTTTAATTGGGTCTGAACGTATATAAAATATAACTCTTTATTACACCATGATAACAAATAAAACATACATAAAAATAAACCAATAAGAAAATAACGAACAACCATCGCCTTGATTTTTACTGTCAGCGACAATTTTATTTGTCTGGAACAGAAAGATGAAGAAATTAACCTAAATCAATATGTTTACTCCTGGGTAAGCATAACAATTCATTGTCTACATACATCCGTTACTAACTTAAGTGCCCCACTGTCATGTAGTGATTTAAAAAGTTCATGTTGGTGGAAAAAATCATGTATACTATTCTTGACGTTCATTTTCATGGACTTCTTGTCGTAGTAATGGTAATGTAATTTTTCGTTGTGAAGATTCCTTTGATATGGGTAGAAGCCATATAGGGTGATGACTTCACAAAATGTACTGGCAAGGGTGTAGATATTGAGTCCGGCAGTTGTAACCCCCTTGGAAAGGTTGCTGTTGTACTTCTCATTCCAGAACCTAAATGCAAGACAATTTATGATTAGAGTGATATGTGATATAAACACTGTAACTGATTTTTTTTCGCGGTACATATCATTAGGCCATGTCTTTTATTTGATTATATGGATGACATCCGCGCGCGCATGAATTTTCGGCCGTTCGCAACCATACTGTAAATCGTACAAAATGAGCAAATTTATGTCCTATGTTGGAATAGGAAGTATTGGAACAAAGTTACTAATGTCATAAAATGCCGAAATCAATTCAGAAAAAGAGAAAATGTGAAGAAATGAAAATGAAAAGTTTACTATTAATGAAGTTATTTTCAAGTTATTTACCCTTTCTCAATGTTCTTTTATCTTTGCTATTTGCAATTAGCCTTCTGGAATTCGCAATAAACTTACCTATTATTCGCCATGCCATACTCTGTGTGTTTAGCCATTTGTTCAGCATTCTTGACCACGTAGATTTCATAATGAAGACAACTTTTGTTGCCAAACTTTTTTCCTAGAGTATGTCATCCACATAATCAAATCAACATGGCCTTATGAGTGAATCAATGGCGAGCAACTTTTCAAATGTTGATTTGATTACTAAAATATATAATTGACACCCTCTGGAAACCCCAAACCTGATGCAAGCGGGCGAATAAAAAAGTTTGTCCAAAAAAGTTGTTTTCAGTATGAATTCTACATGGTCATGAAGGTTGGTATGGCGAATAATCTACTAACACACCAGATGTCGTCCATATAATAAAATCAACAGGCCTAATAAATAAATAGATGAAAGAAAGTCTGTACCCACATGCGAATGAAGCATTTTGCGATAAATCTTGCCGAATGGGGTCAAAATGGACCCAGATGTTTCAGTGACAGATAGACGGATAGAAAGAGGGAGGGTGTGGGAGAAAGAGAAAGAGAGAAAGAAAGGAAGAAAGAAAGAAAGAAAGAGAGAAAGAGAGAAAGAGAGAAAGAAAGAAAGAAAGAAAGAAAGAAAGAAAAAGAAAGAAAGAATGAAAGAAAGAGATTTCATCACGAGACACTTACGGTTTGATATGACGTCTTGGTGGAGACACCGAATAAGTCATTGTGATGTTAAGATCCAATTTCCTTATCATCGTGTTTAAAGCAGGAAGGTTACAAGAGATACAGAGACAGAAGGAGACAGAAGACAGAAGTGATGCAGATTGAAACACATGTGGAGGAGTGTACATTGTGTTTACAAGAGATGCAGAGACAGAAGGAGACAGAAGACAGAAGTGATGCAGAGTGAAACACCTGTGGAGGAGTGGACAGTGTGTTTACAAGAGATGCAGAGACAGAAGGAGACAGAAGACAGAAGTGATGCAGAGTGAAACACCTGTGGAGGAGTGTACAGTGTTTACAAAAGATACAGAGACAGAAGGAAACAAAAGATAGAAGTGATGCAGAGTGAAACACCTGTGGAGGAGTGTACAGTGTGTTTACAAGAGATGCAGAGACAGGAGACAGAAGATAGAAGTGATGCAGAGTGTACAGTAGTGTGTTTACAAGAGATACAGAGACAGAAGGAGACAGAAGACAGAAGTGATGCAGAGTGAAACACCTGTGAAGGAGTGGACAGTAGTGTGTTTACAAGAGATACAGAGACAGAAGGAGACAGAAGTGATGCAGAGTGAAACACCTGTGAAGGAGTGTACAGTGTGTTTACAAGAGATACAGAGACAGAAGGAGACAGAAGACAGAAGTGATGCAGAGTGAGACACTTGTGAATGAATGTACAGTGTGTTTACAAGAGATACAGAGACAGAAGGAGACAGAAGACAGAAGTGATGCAGAGTGAAACACCTGTGGAGGAGTGTACAGTGTGTTTACACGAGATACAGAGACAGAAGGAGACAGAAGACAGAAGTGATGCAGAGTGAAACACCTGTGGAGGAGTGTACAGTGTTTACAAGAGATGCAGAGACAGAAGGAGACAGAAGATAGAAGTGATACAGAGTGAAACACCTGTGGAGGAGTGGACAGGGTGTTTACAAGAGATGCAGAGACAGAAAGAGACAGAGAGAGAAGTGTTACAGAGTGAAACACCTGTGGAGGAGTGGACAGTATGTGTTCACATTTAGGACTTGAAGAAAGAGAGCGGTCGAGTGTTAAACACTCAGGAATAGTAAAGAACTGTAATGCCTAAGAAAGACGAAATAGAAATAGACAGATAGCCATAGAATAGACGATATTCATTATTTATATTTAATCATGTGTCTGTGTGAAAAAAACAAACTATTTTTAAACTGTAATATCTTTTAAGTGTGTATCCCTGTATTTTAACGACCATGGCTCTCCCAACGTGGAGGAATAAAGAATAAAAGGAAAGGAAAGGAAAGAAAGAAAAAGAAAGAAAGAATGAAAGAAAGAGATTTCATCACGAGACACTTACGGTTTAATATGACGTCTTGGTGGAGACACCGAATACGTCATTGTGATGTTAAGATCCAATTTCCTTATCATCGTGTTTAAAGCAGGAAGGTTTCTGTGGTTGCCGAGTATATAGCTTATTATGGAGTTATTCCGAGAAATTATCCACTGGGGGTCAAAATTGACTCTCTCTATTTTGTCTAATACTCTGCTGTTGATAATGGTCATGTTGGTCTTCCCACCGACATCCTGAAACAAACAACAACTAGCTAACAGTTGCAAAGCAAATGCACAATGTTTACCTTCGCATATGGTCTGCTCTGTTAATTCTTATTCAAACACATTCATATATGTATAGTCGGACAGGAGTATAAATCCCTCCTACTATAAAATTGCAACTGTTATGTAACCCAAAACCAGTTATCATGCGGAGAGACGTCATCAAATCAGGTCATTGGCCAGAAAACGTAGTAAAAATAATAAGTTTTCCTTCGGTATACCAACGGTATACAACAAAATATTGGTATTATAATAGAGTACAAAGGTCTGTTAAGACTTAAATTACACATGGAAACAACACCCAAGTCACAAAAATGTCATTAATTGATGGATATAGTTTTGCTATCCACCATCTTAGATCTCCATCCTTGCCTTTAAAAAGACATTCTTTTAAGATACAACCTCAAAAATACAATGCAAACGGACTATAGACGTTCATATGAACGTTTTATGTTAAAAATTAAGTAGTTATGGAATTTGGGGAAAAACTGTTTATACCTGAGTTAATGATATGGTGTGCCATCTTAGATTTAGACCGATGACGTCATGAAATTAGCATAAATTTTGAGGTTTTACCTGTCACATCAAAAGACGCCAATTTTTCAAATTAAGATTACTTGTAATGGTACTGATAAAAGATTGCATTAGTATGCTATAGTAATCAAAATGACATGGAACGTGAAGGCATTGTCACCTGTTCGAATGTCTTTAATGTAGCATTATTTACTCTGATAACAAAATCCTTGCGGTCAATGTCGTCCCCACAGCCGCTGCCACGGAGGATGCCATTATTGCCGACAACCGCGCATGTCTTGTAATGTCCAACTCGTATTCTCGTGACAGACGTTCCATTTTTCTTAGACTGGTTATAGATGACGAAATTTGCTGATGGGTTGAAATAGCGACTTGTCTGATTGCTGAAACAAATATGTTAAAATCGTTAACTTGTCCTCATATTGTCAGCACTATTATTTGAACTATTGCCTTCTCCAGAAAGGCTATATTATCGGCATTTTTTTAACAACTCAATCATTTGTTGATAACTCTGGTACTTGAATCATGCATAGTCTGGACATTTTTCTTCTGTCTTCCAGTGTCAGTGACACCCACTGTAGGTTTCTTTTCTTTTCATTTCCGTGACACTAACACCCTTTTCATAGTTGTTCATACAGAATATTGCAACTTGATCCTGTACCCTTTCCAGTTTGTCTTTGTCTATCTTTATATCTGGATCCCATACTGTCGCGGCATATTCTAGGATTGGTCTTAAAAGTGACGTGTATGCAAGTGATTTTACTCTATAGCTAGTTGGACATTGTCAATATAAGATGTTTCATTTTGCAACATAGAGTCTTGACATACCATCATGTCGGTGTTATCTAGAGCAATAAAAAGTTATCTTGTAGTAAAGCTTCAGACAAACATTTATATTTCATATCAGTTTTTTGTGTCAGTCATTGAGTCAAGTAATTTTCGAATAATCATTTCCTTTAATGGGTTCTTTAAAAAAATTTTTTTCATAGTGAAAACGCTGCTCTTGCTAGCAAATATTACTTTTAACGTGCATCCATATCCGTTTCCTTTAACGACCTCTTAACAAATAATAGTGTTTTTGCAAAAATGTTTTGAATATATACTTATCTACACAAGAAAGCAGTCACTCAAGCAACTGGATAAATTTTGACATACACTTACCTAATACGAAATGCTGATGTAACGTTGTACCAGTCGATGAATGAATTCGAACCCCTGGTGTCAAAGGCTGCATTAACCTTTCTTTTCATCAGGGGTTTTGTGTTGAAGCTGGAAAAAACAAAAACAATATCAATTGTCGGTTATACTTCTCTTAAAAGAGCTTTAATTGGAAGCACTGAACTGACGAAGAAAACACATCAATATATTAAGTTTAATTCTAAAGCAGTATGTACGAATCGTCTTTGTCTACATAACCTCTCTTAACCCCTGAAATAACATTTTAGTAACAAAACTAGAAAGGTAACATTTGCAGAGCAAATCCATCATTTATACCTCCACAATTTCTTTATCTATTTATTTAGTTATTCATTTATTGCAATTATCCACATACACATGTACATGGAAGGCATGGTAGAACAGTTGAACCTAAGTACACCTTTTCAAGGCCACCATGCTGACAAATAAATAGTCGATTGATCTAGCCTGACAAATTACTGCTCTGTTTATTGTTACTCAAACACAAGGAAAGTAAACATAAAGATACTTACTCCGTATGCTTGTATTTCTGCAGCAGGAAGAAAGATAAAATCAAAACTACAACAAATAAGACTGGTATAGTAAAAGATCTCTTCATAATCGTAGCCATGTTGAGGGATAGGTCATAGCTATATATAGCTAGGTGGTCGAACAGGTTTGAGACAGATTAACCTTCTCCCTGCGTTTGCCCACGTTTTTGCACGTAGACAGCACGCAGAAGCACGTACGGCGGGTTGTGACCGAAGCTTTAACAAAGTACCATGGGCTAGAGCCAGGCCTTATCCGTTTTACGCGTAAAGCAGTGCAAAACAGAAAGTCCGATAAAAAAGCCTCAAAATACGCCAACTTTTTTTTTAAATTTTTTCATGCATCAACTTTTAATTGGGTCTGAAGGTATATAAAATATAACTCTTCATTACAACATGATAACAAATAAAACATACATAAAAATAAACCAATAACAAAATAACGAACAACCATCGCCTTGATTTTTACTGTCAGCAATAGTTTTATTTGTCTGGAACAGAAAGATGAAGAAATTAACCTAAATCATCATGTTTACTCCTGGGTAAGCATAACAATTCATTGTCTACATACATCCGTTACTAACTTAAGTGCCCCACTGGCATGTAGTGATTTAAAAAGTTCATGTTGGTGGAAAAAATCATGCACACTTTCTTGACGTTCATTTTCATGGACTTCTTGTCGTAGTAATGGTAATGTAATTTTTTGTTGTGAAGATTCCTTTGATATGGGTAGAAGCCATATAGGGTGATGACTTCACAAAATGTACTGGCGAGGGTGTAGGTATTGAGTCCGCCAGTTGTAACCCCCTTGGAAAGGTTGCTGTTGTACTTCTCATTCCAGAACCTAAATGCAAGACAATATTTTATTAGAGTGATATTTGATAGAAACAATGTAACTTATTTTTTTGCGGTACATATCATTAGGCCATGTTGATTTGATTATATGGATGACATCAGCGCGCGCATGAATTTTCGGCCGTTCGCAAAAAAAATTTCAACCATACTGTAAATAGTACAAGTTAGTTGCAAAATGAACAAATATACCATAGGTTGCAAAAAAATATTGGAAAACGATACCAATGCCATGGAATGCCAAAATCAAAAAGACGAAAATGCAAAGAAATGAATAGTAGATTATTCGCCATACCAACCTTCATGACCACGTAGAATTCATACTGAAAGCAACTTTTTTGGGACAAACTTTTTTATTCGCCCGCTTGCATCAGTTTTGGGGTTTCCAGAGGGTGTCAACCATATAATTAAATCAACATTTCAAAAGCAGCTCGACTTTGATTCACTTATAAGGCCACGTTGATTTGATTATTTGGATGACATACTCTAGGATCCCCAAAACTAATGCGAGCGTGCAAATAAAAAAGTTTGGCAAAAAAAAAAGTTCATTTTGGAATCTACGTGGTCAATGGCTAAACACACAGAGTATGGTATGGCGAATAATAGGTAAGTTTATTGCGAATTCCTGACGGCTAATTGCAAATAACAAAGAAAAGAATATTGAGACAGGGTAAATAACTTGAAAATAACTTGAAAGAGAGAAAGAGAGAAAGAAAGAAAGAATAGAGAGAAAGAAAGAAAGAATGAAAGAAAGAAAGAAAGAAAGAAAGAAAGAAAGAAAGAAAGAGATTTTCATCACGAGACACTTACGGTTTGATATGACGTCTTGGTGGAGACACCGAATACGTGATTGTGATGTTAAGATCCAATTTCCTTATCATCGTGTTTAAAGCAGGAAGGTTTCTGTGTTTGCCGAGTATATAGCTTATTATGGAGTTATTCCGAGAAATTATCCATTGGGGGTCAAAATTGACTCTCTCTATTTTGTCTAATACTCTGCTGTTGATAATGGTCATGTTGGTCTTCCCACCGACATCCTGAAACAAAAACAAAACAACAACTAGGTAACAGTTGCAAAGCAAATGCACAATGTTTACCTTCGCATATGGTCTGCTCTGTTAATTCTTACTCAAACACATTCATATATATAGTCGGACAGGAGTATAAATCCCTCCTATTATAAAATTGCAACTGTTATGCATGTAACCCAAAACCAGTTATTATGCGGAGAGACGTCATAAAATCAGCTTGATGCCTATTGGCTGTGGCTCTCTGCATTCCTTACTGATGAGTCATAGCTACAAGGTAAGTATACTTCACTATTTGGCATTGAAACAGTCCAAAAGGCCCAAATTATACCCATTTAAGGGAGAGTATGCCAGAAATTATAATGAATTGTTGTTGGTAGATATATAAAGCATACATAGACCAAATTTCAGATGGTTTGAGTTTAATATCAGGTCTCCAGGACGACCCCAAATGTACAGATTTTGTCGAAAAATGGCAAAAAATAAAGCAATTTTAAATTATGCCTGTATCGAAAAAAAACGCCTGGGGGTATTTGCCTACTTTATCTTCATACCAAATTTCATGTTATTTTGGCCCCAAAATGAAGGAGTTGAATCAATTTAAAGAAATGGCAGGAGGAGAGGAAGAAGGAGGAGAAGAAGAAGAAGAAACATGATAGTGGTGAAGCCATAATAATATGTTTTCCTTCGTTATACCAACGGTATACAACAAAATATTGGTATAATAGAGTACAAAGGTCTGTTAAGACTTAAATCGCACATGGAAACAACCCCCAAGTCACAAAAATGTCATTAATTGATGGATATAATTTAGCTATCCACCATCTTAGATCTCCATCCTTGCCTTAAAAAAATACATTTTTTAAAGATACAGCCTCAAAAATACAATGCACACGGATTATAGACGTTCATATGAACGTTATATGTTAAAACTTATTAGTTATGGAATTTGGGAAAAACTGTTTATACCCGAGCTAATGATATGGTCCGCTATCTTAGATTTAGACCGATGGCGTCATGAAATTAGCATAAATTTTGAGGTTTTACCTGTCACATCAAAAGACGCCAATTTTTCAAATTAAGATTACTTGTAATGGTACTGATAGAAGATTGCATTAGTATCTTATAGTAATAAAAATGACATATGAACCATGAAGTCATTGTCACCTGTTCGAATGTCTTTAATAGAGCATTATTTACTCTGATAACAAAATCGTTGCGGTCAATGTCGTCCCCACAGCCGCTGCCACGGAGAATGCCACTATTGCCGACAACCGCGCATGTCTTGTAATGTCCAACTCGTGCTCTCGTGACAGACGTTCCATTTTTCTTAGACTGGTTATAGATGACGAAATTTGCTGATGGGTTGAAATAGCGACTTGTCTGATTGCTGAAACAAATATGTTAAAATCTTTAACTTGTCCTCATATTGTCAGCATTTAAAATCAATTAACATCGGCAAAAAATCTTGTCTCCCAAACAGCCAGCCATACTCGAGCTCTACAATCGACTGTGCCCGGTATCACATCAACACACTTACAGAACCAGATATGCTACTCAGAACACCTTCAAACTAGACAAACAAAAACAAACAGCACTAAAAACAGCCTTCACACACAGAACTACTGCAGCATGGAACTCTCTACCACATGGGCTGCAAACAATGTCATCACATGAGTTCAAACCAGGCCTACTAAAAAACATGAGGGACATGAATAAGTAAAGCACATACGATGTTACACATTTATTTGTTTTAAATAACTATTCATGTGATGTAAATGTATATGTAACTGTATGTGATGTATTTCTTCGTACTCTCTCCTGGAAGAATAGCTGCCACCCTTGGTTGGGCAGCTAAATGAGAGTTTTTCCTCAATAAACCTCAATAAACTATTATTTGAACTATTGCCTTCTCCAGAAAGGCTATATTATCGGCAGCATGGATTGGTAGGCCTTGAGTTTTTTTAACAACTCAATCATTGGTTGATAACTCTGGTACTTGAAGGCATGGCTATTTCTTGTACTTTTTTGGGCTAGTATTAAGTACTTGGTAGTTGGTACGTCCACAAGTTTATCAGTCATTTTGTACATCATGCATAGTCTGGACATTTTTCGTCTGTCTTCCAGTGTCAGTGACACCCAATGTAGGTTTCTTTTCTTTTCATCTCCGTGACACTAACACCCTTTTCATAGCTGTTAATACAGATTCTTGCAGCTTGATTCTGTACCATTTCCAGTTTGTCTTTGTCTCTCTTTGTATCTGGATCCCATACTGTCGCGGCATATTCTGGGTTTGGTCTTACACGTGACGTGTATGCAAGTGATTTTAGTCTAGTTGGGCATTTTGCAACACAGAGTCTTGACATACCATCATGTCGGTGTTATCTAGAGCAATAAAAATGTATCTTGTAAAGCTTCAGATAAACATTTATATTTCATATCAGTTTTGTGTGTCAGTCATTGAGTCAATTAATTTTCGAATAATCATTTCCTTTAATGGGTTCTTTAAAAAAGTTATCTTTTTTTCATAGTGAAAACGCTGTTTTTGCTGGCAAATATTTCTTTTAGAGTGCATCCATATCTGTTTCCTTCAACGACCTCTTGATAAAAAATAGTGTTTGCAAAATGTTTTGAATATATACTTATCTACACAAGAAAGCAGCAACTCAAGCAACTGGATAAATTGTGAGATACACTTACCTAATACGAAATGCTGATGTAACGTTGTACCAGTCGATGAATGAATTCGAACCCCTAGTGTCAAAGGTTGCATTAACCTTTCTTTTCATCAGGGGTTTTGTGTTGAAGCTGACAAAAACAAAAACAATATCAATTGTCGGTTATACTTCACTTAAAAGAAAACATATCAATACATTAAGTTTAATTCTAAAGCATTATGTACGAATCGTCTTTGTCTACATAATCTCTCTTCACCCCTGAAATAACATTTTAGTAACAAAACTAGAAAGGTAACATTTGCAAAGCAAATCCATAATTTTTACCTCCACAA